CCGGAGGAGTGAGTAGTGAACACACACACACACACACCCGGAGGAGTGAGTAGTGAACACACACACACACACACACGGAGGAGTGAGTAGTGAACACACACACACACCCGGAGGAGTGAGTAGTGAACACACACACACACACACAGAGGAGTGAGTAGTGAACACACACACACACACTTAGAGGAGTGAGTAGTGAACACACACACACACACACACACACAGAGGAGTGAGTAGTGAACACACACACACACACGGAGGAGTGAGTAGTGAACACACACACACACTTAGAGGAGTGAGTAGTGAACACACACACACACACACACAGAGGAGTGAGTAGTGAACACACACACACACACACTTAGAGGAGTGAGTAGTGAACACACACACACACAGAGGAGTGAGTAGTGAACACACTGTTACGGCCAGCTCGTTTCGGCCGTACATAAAGTAAACAAGTACACCGAAAATGACTTGCAAGATTTTATTCGTCCTCAAAAATCACAATAAACTGAATATAACAAAGTCTAGGGTTTCAAATCAAAAGGGTCAAAATCATAATCCGGTTGGGGAGTAAAAGAAGGTTGGTATGGGCTGTAAATCAAAAGGTTCGAATGACTTCGCCAGAGGCTGTCAGTCCCCCTGGACGAAGTGAAGATGAGATGTTCAATCCAAGGTTTTATCCTCTTCATAATCAAAGATGATCGGAGGAAGCAGGTGTGTGCGATCTCCCACGCTCTCTCAGAGCAACACCGCCACCAGCAGGCGAGCAAGCAGAACACAGGGTCGTAACACCTCCCTCCAAAAGAAAAAGATTCGGCCACGAATCTAAAAAAAACAAGAAAAAAAACAATTAAGCACAACCCAAAACAAGCGCAATGACATTCTGGACGTCGTCTTCTCTTCATTTTCCAGCACCTCTGGGCCCTAGAGATGCAGAGAAAAGAAAATGGACAACGCAGAGGTTAGGTTATGCTCTGGAAAGGGTGTCAGCTATGACATTATCTTTTCCTCGAATGTGTTGAATCTCAAGGTGGAAAGGTTGTAAAATGAGACTCCATCGCATAAGTCGCTGATTTCGATTTCTCATTTGATTCAAGAAAACCAACGGATTATGATCCGTATAGATGATAATCGGTGCAGCGATGGACCCTAGGTATACCTCAAAATGTTGCACGGCCAACACTAGGGCGAGAGCTTCCTTCTCAATGGTAGAGTATACCTGTTGATGTCGATTAAACTTTTTTGAAAAGTAACTTACAGGATGTAGAACCTTGTTCGAATCCTCCTGTAAGAGGACAGCACCCGCACCACAAGCACTTGCATCGATTGCAAGGCTAAAAGATTTCTCAAAATCCGGGGCTGTTAAAACAGGGGCACACGCCAACAACGCTTTACAATTATCAAAAGCTTGTTGACAGAGCTCAGACCACTGAAAAGTCAACTTTGGACTCAATAAATCGGTAAGAGGGGAGACCACACTGGCGAAATTTTCACAGAAGCCCCGGTAATATCCCACCATACCGAGAAACCGTCGCAATTCACGACGAGTGGTGGGTACGGGAAAATCACAAATGGCTTCAACCTTGGTCTCAATAGGCTTTACACAACCGTTTCCCACGACTTTACCTAAGTAGGTAACGGTTGCCTTCGCGAATTCCGATTTAGCGAGGTTTATGGTCAGATTAGCCTTTGCTAAACGAGAAAACAATTCCTTAATCTGGTTAAGATGTTCAGACCAGGAGGAATTATACAACACCACGTCGTCAAGATATGCCTCACATCCTGACATTCCATACAGTATACGATTTACGAGACGCTGGAACGTCGCGGGTGCATTTCGCACTCCGAAAGGCATAACCGTATACTGCAGGAAAGCATCAGGTGTGACGAAGGCGGATAATTCCTTCGCTCGACAAGTCAGCGGCACCTGCCAATATCCCTTTAGGAGATCGAACTTACTAACATATCGAGCAGAGCCAACATGATCGACGCAGTCATCAACTCGAGGCAAAGGGGAGCAATCCGGCTTAGTAACAGAATTTAGTTTTCGATAATCTGTGCAGAATCGATATGAGCCATCAGATTTATTTACCAGAACACAAGGGGAACTCCATGAACTGAAACTACATTCAGCCAGATCATGAGCAAGTAGATAGTTCACCTCTTGTTTCAGCAAATCTCTTTTAAAAGGATTGACTCGATATGCGTTCTGTTTAACAGGACATGAGGCTCCTACGTCGATATCATGTTCTATGATAGATGTACGACCAGGAACATCACGGAAAAGAGAGGGAAATGACATCACCAACTCAGTGACATCACTCCTCTCCTTCTCTGTCAGATAAGAAAGATGAGAGGACAGATTAAGAAGAATCTCAGAGTTCTTAAGTCGCCCGTCGACTTTTCCTCGAGAAAGAAAACTCTCATCCTCATCAGCATTCTCCAAAGAATCCTTACTCGGGCTACGAAAGGAAGATGACAATTCTGGAAAAGAATCACAAGAGTTTACCACATTAACAGTAACGGGACGAACAGGAGCTATGTACAATTTCAACAGATTACTGTGACATACTTGTACCTTCTTCCTCCGATCAGGAGTATTCAACAGATAGTTATTATCAGAAAGACGTTTAACTATCTTGTAAGGGCCTGTAAATTTAGCCTGAAATGGATTTGCAGCTAGAGACAATAAAGCCAATACTTGTTCATCCACCTGAAATTCTCTTAATTTAGCTTTCTTGTCAAAGCGTTGTTGCATTTTTATTTGAGACTTACTCAATTTCTTTTTAGCAAGAGCTCGTGCCTCATATAATCTACGCCGGAATCCACTCACATAATCTGAAATATTTCCAGAAGGTTTAGACATTCGCCACTCCTCAGCTAACACAGTTGTAGGTCCTCGCACTACATGTCCGAACACTAATTCATTTGGGCTAAACCCAAGACTTTCTTGGATTACCTCACGGATCGCTAACAACATCCATGGCAGACCTTCTTCCCAATCCGCATCGAGTTCCACACAATATGACCTCAAAAGGGACTTCAGGGTTTGATGAAACCTTTCAAGGACTCCTTGACTCTGTGGATGATAAGCACTAGAAATATTGTGTTTCACTCGAAGTTGACGCAGGGCTTTTGAGAACTGTTTTGACATAAAGTTCGAACCCTGATCAGATTGAATGACTTTAGGTATTCCAAAGGTCGACATGAAATTAGTGAGAGCCTTCAAGACAGATTTAGTAGTAATGGACCTTAACGGATAAGCAGCCGGATAACGAGTAGTCTGACACATAATGGTTAAAAGGTATTGGTGACCAGTCTTGGACCGAGGCAAAGGACCAACACAGTCAACTACCAAATACTCAAAAGGAGTGGAACCGACGGAAATAGGTTGCAACGGAGCAACAGGTAACTTTTGATTTGGCTTACCGGTGATCTGGCATGTATGACAAGATCGAATATGTTTTGCCACATCTCGTTTCACCTTCGGCCAATAGAACTGTCGTAAGACTCGATCGTACGTTTTACGAACTCCGGTATGACCAGCAAGTCCTTGATGAGCTAAATGCAACACGGATTCCCTCATCGTAAAAGGAACCACAATCTGAATTTTAGGTTCAGGAGAAACATCTTCATGCAACACCACTTTCCGACAAAGCAGACCATCATCAAGAAAGTACGAAGAAGACTGAGGATCAGAACACTTCTTAGACCCTACTTCAGAGAATAAGGTTTTAAGACTGTCGTCGCTCTGTTGAGCTCTAATCAAATCCTCTCGAGAAATCTGGAACAAAGAAGTCAGAGAACAATCAACATCAGAGAGATCAACATTGGTTTTCTCAAGAGTGGACAGAACCTCTAATGTATCGTTAGATTCATGTCGCAACACTGTCGATTCTTTCTGGTCAGAAGACAACGAAGAACAGGACTTCAGGTCTCCTTGCTCAGGACTCTTG